ATGCTTAATGCAGATTTGAGGATTATGTGTCTGGGGAGGAAAGGAATATGCATTTGGGGAGAGTCATGCAAGGGTTTTCAAAGGTACTAGTCTTGTACTTCAGTTCTATGTTGGGTATGTGGGTGTTTGTTTATTATTCTTCAAACTGTGCATAGGTTATACACAAACTTGGTATATGATATAGTTCTCAAAAAAAAAAAAAAAAAAGAAAAGAAAGAAAAGAAAAGGTGTGTCAGGTTGGAAGGCTGTCTCGAACCTTGAAGTCAGTGGCTGCCACAGCAACGGGCCTCCTGTGTTTTGGACTCACGGATGGGGCTAGAGAGGCCCACTTCCAGGCTGATCAATTCCTGTCCCATAGAGAGAAAGTGGCAGGTGCCTGAGTCCAAGCAGACAACTGAGGCCCCCAGAGAAGGAAGACCCTCCTAAGAAGGCTGTCTCCTGCCCTCCCTTCCTGTCCCCCTCGGCAAAGACCCACCTCTGACATCCCTTCGAAAGTGTTGCCAGAGACTTACCTACCATAAGACACACCTGGCAACGGGAGGTGGGGCTGCCTTATCAGGGGGCTGGCAGGTACAGGACAGAGAGTACAGGCCTCAGTGCTCCTTCTGGGAACTGCCATTAACTGTTCTGGGATTGGTATGGCCTTTGTCCCTTGTGGACATGTGACATTTGGTAAAAACGTAATCTGGTATAAAGCAGTATAAACTCACATCACCTGAGGACTGGCTTTGACCTTCCCACTACTTCCAATAATACAGACAAGCTTTTGTGTCTTTTCAGTACCACTGAGAGAGAAGATAAGGTGCATTCCAGGGGGTGGACAGGGCTAGAAAGTAGATTGTGATATTTAAGAGCTCTGGGAGCAAACACATGTATCTGCGTTCAGATCTCAGCTCCACCCTGAGCTAGCTGAGTGACTTGGGGCAAGTCACTTACCCTCCCTGATCCTGCTTTTCTTTGTTAGTTGGGGATATGCACAGTCCCCACCTCCCTGGGTTGTTGTATTAAACAAGATAATCCAAATAAAGAATGGCGCAGAGCTGGGTTCAGAGTACATTCTCAACAGACATAATGTTTTGTCATTGAGACAAAATCTCAGTGATCACGGAGGACTGGGATTTGCCTGGAGTAGAAGTACTCCTGCACTAAGCCCCCATCTTCTTTAAGGAAAAAGACTAGGAAAACACCGAATCCTTCAAAAGTGGCAAAAAAAAAAAAAAGTGGCAAAGTTTACCTTGCCCATGATATAGTAGAAATAGCATAAATTTGCCCTGGCAAGTAGTTGTAAAAAAAATAGGTTGTGTTAAACAAACAAGGGCTGGCAATAGCATTCGAAGTCCTCGAAAGGAGAAGGGAGCCATCCCACCTCCAGGAGTGCCTGGGTCCACCCTAACCCAGCTGCCCCGCAGACCTTGGTGCTGCTTGTCTGCATTTGGTCTCTTTACCTGGCACTTCATCCTCTCCCATTCTCCCTCTCCTTCTCTCAACATCTTTCTGCTTCTCCTGGCCACCTCGTCCTTTTGTCCTGGCATCTTGAAGCAACAGCAGCGAAACAAGAAATAAGAATTTGAAGAGGGAGAAAAGGAGGGAGGGAAGGAAGGGATGGGAGAAAATGAGAGATCTAATCCCATTGCTACCATACATCAAGCAGGGGCTGTGTGGCTTTGAGTCGGTTCCTCACCCTCTCTGAGCCTCAAGACTATTAGAAGTTTCAAATCAGAGAAGATGTGCAGAGGTGTACAAAGTTTCACGGGGAGCCTGCATGTGGTGGGCCTTGGGTACCAAGAGTCCCCAAGTTCCCTCTCTGTTTTTTGTTTTTGTTTTAATTTTTTGGCTGTGCCGCAAAGCATGTGGGATCTCAGTTCCCCGACCAGGGATCGAACCCACGCCCCCTGCTTTGGAAGCACGGAGTCCTAACCACTGGACCGCCAGGGAAGTCCCTCCCTCTCTCAGCTTTGTTGGATCTGTTTGGGTTGGGGAGTAAGAGGTAGAAAGGAAGAAAAAAGGAATAGGAACGGAATGCACTGCAGAGATGGAGGTTGGGAATGTCAGTTCTCCACCCCTCCCCCATGATTGCCCAAGACAGCTGGTGCCTCCTTTTCCCCATCTGGGGCTCACTACTTTTCAAGCGTCTGCTGTCCAAGTCCCAGTGCCCTTGATGGCTCTTGTTTGTGAGCCCCACTGAGGTGACACTGCAGCATTAAGGAAGGTAGTATGGTGCAATGGTTAACCGCAAGGTTCTGGAACTACACTGGGCCAATGCTTCACTCCAGCACTGATTATTGTGACCTTGGGTAAGCTCCTCCCCTCTTCTGGGCCATAACCGCCTTGCTTGTGAAATGGAATTCTGGATTGTCGTGAGTTAACAGACAGTAAACTCTTCAGAAGGTGCTGGCTCACACGAAGTGCTTGGTAAATGGCAGTTGTTTGTGATGGTCCAGCTACTTATTGTTGCCTGTCTCTGTACCAACTCAATGACTTGCATTCACAGCATCCTTGTTATCCGGGCCCGGAGGAAATACTGGCTGAGGTTGTTTCTCTTAGTTGTTGTAACATGGCCCGTTCTGTAGCCTAGAGATCATTGATGTAACAAGGATTTTGTTCCTTCCAAGGCTACTACTGTGTTTTATTCGTTATTAACGGGCATGTTTTTATTGTTCTGTGTTACCTGATGCACACTGTCCTCTCAGATTAAAATAATAATACCTTCAGTTAATAATACCTTACACTTGGGGAGCTGATTTCATCCCAGCAGCTCAAAGGCCTCTACAAACAGGACCTCATTCATTCTCCCTGTGCTCCCAGGACCGGGGCACTCCTGTTTCCCAGTCCGAGAAGGGGAAGCCCTACCCTCATACATCGCTGAAGAGATTCTCAGAAGCCAAAGTACTGATTAAGTATTTCCACTGCTCACGGCCACAACTCAGAGGCAGAACTCTGTTGCTCTCTCTGCCCAGGGTGACTTTATGCCCCCAGCAGATAACCAGAGTGGCTTGGGGCTTTGTCTTCCATGCCTATGCCAGGTGCCTACAGCTGTGCCCTGCAAATGGTAAACTAAAGAAAGCTTTGGAATAAACCACACTGATATCCAAGAAAAAAAACAGGTTTGGCAATTTTGGTGTTTTCAGGACCTTTGTCTTCCTTGAGAACTTCTTAAATAAGACCTAAGGGCTCCTGCAGCCTGAAACGCCTCTGCCCAGTTAGATCCTACTACTCATGGCCCTGGCATGCTTGACAACTGTATGTACTTGTGAAAACTGGAGCCCCACAGTGACAGTACTTCCTTGTTCTGGGCTGCTCGTGGGCCAGGCCCCTTGGCAATGGCAGCTGCTGGATACTCACTTTTTTTTTTTTTTTTTTTCGGGGTACGCGGGCCCCTTTTTTTTGCGGCCTCTCCCGTTGCGGAGCACAGGCTCCAGACGCGCAGGCCCAGCGGCCATGGCTCACGGGCCCAGCCGCCCTGCGGCATGTGGGATCCTCCCGGACCGGGGCACGAACCCGCATCCCCTGCATCAGCAGGCAGACTCTCAACCACTGCGCCACCAGGGAAGCCCTGGATACTCACTTTTGATTTCACCTTGCAATTACTGGAAGGGAAGGGCTGCAAGCTGTACTTGACTTTCTAGTCACACTCCAGTTCTCAGCCCGTGAGCGCTTGGGGGTGGCCAAGTGCAATTACGGGAAGAGAAATGGGTCTTTTGGCCGCGGCAAAAAGCTGACTCCTGCTCGTTCAAAACAAACAACAAACAAACAAACAAAAAGACTAAATGGGACAAACTCATTATAGTGCCTGAGGCTGTTTTTCATCAGAACATAAACACTGGGTGTAACTTTTTCCTATTTATATTCTGTTTTTTTACATGGTTAAGTTTTCTTAGATGGAGAGTTAAATCCACTTTAGGCAAAGTCAAAATAGAACCATGGCTTGCTTTCTTCTTAGCCTCCCGTTCTGAAGACTCTTAACTAATTATTACATACTCTTTGACTGGTATTTCAGATCCAGAACTTACTAAGTTTTTTAGAAACAGAAATTCTAACAGTGAATTCCTAGCAATGTTTACCTTCCTAAACTCTCTGGCCTTTCTTCAGTATGCTTAAACTCCTAGTTCTTTCCCCACCCGCACAAATCCCAAGCACAAACCTTGAAGGTTAAATCCTAATCCAGAAGATGGAAGCTCAGTGCATATAAATAAACTTTGTTTTTAAATGTCAAGGGTTGAGAGCCGGTACATGTATAGAAACAAATTAAAGTTTCAGTTAGGCCAATCAATTTAAGGAAAAACAGTTTTTTAGCTTGGAATATTAGTGTCTGAGAAAGCCTCGTTTCCCCCTTGCAATTTGTATTTATAGTGTACATTAACAGTAGTTTTCGTCTTCAGAGAGCCAAGTTTTTGTCCTAAAAACGTAGGGAAAGACTGTTGGGCTCTTGGGGTGGGTAGTGGCTGGAAAGAGGCATGAAGGGGGTACGTTACATTTCAATAAAAAGCTAAAAAAAAAAAAGTAGAGCAGCTTGAAAGTTTTTTAAAAAATAAACAATTTTGAGAGTTGAGCAGCTGCAAAGGCTCTGTCTGTTTTCTATTTTGATCATTCTGTTTCTCGAGATGACCACATCTTTCAGAGGAAGTGAGTCAAAGCCACTCTGTCTTGCTTTTCCAGCTGAGCATGTTCAGTTTCAATGAAGTAATGAATGAACTTGGCTGCACCACCCCCAAGCCTACAACAGCAAACAGAGGGGCCTCGGCCAATCAGCAGGCACTCAAGGTTTTCAAGTTGAGTTCAAACAGGTCCAAGGGAGACCAATCAGCGCGCGCGGCTCCTCCCCAGACGCCGGGCCGTGGCCAATCATGAGCCAGGACGAGCCAAAACACAGCGTCCGGCCAATACCGGGGAGCCCCACGGCGCCGACGTCCGCCAATGGGCGCGGCCAGGCAGAAAGAGAAACAGTGCGGGCCCGCAGGCCGCAGGATTCGAATCGAACGTCCGCCAGGGAGCCGGGCGCCGGCCGAGCGGCGCGGGCCAATCAGCGGCGGCGGCTCGCGGCCCCCGAACGTTGGGACACCCGGCCCCGCCCCGCACTGTTGTTTGTGGTGTCGGCCGGCCGCGCGAGCCGGACCACAACACTCGCCCGGCGGGCGGCGGGGCGGGCGAGGGTCCGGAGGCCGCGGGCGGCGGCGAGCGCGAGCCGAGGGCGGCCGGCCTCCCGCGGCCGCCGATCCCGGGAGGGGGCGCCGGCCGGAGCCATGTCGGTGAACATGGATGAGTTGCGGCACCAGGTCATGATCAACCAGTTCGTGCTGGCCGCAGGCTGCGCGGCCGACCAGGCGAAGCAGCTGCTGCAGGCGGCCCACTGGCAGTTCGAGGTGCGTGCGGGCCGAGCTAGCGAGTGCTCCCGGCCGGCCCCGCTCCCCGGCCGCCGGCACTGGGGCAGAGGCGCAGGCCGGGGCGCCCGGCCGCGCGCCACGGATGGGGGTGGGGGGAGGGAAGCTCTATTTATATCGCCCCGTCAGGCGCTCAGCGACCTCGTGGTCTCGCGTGGGGCGCGGGGCCCTGCCGCCCTGTACCTCCGCGCGCGGCCCGGGGACGCCCCCTCGAGCGACGCGGGCCGGCCGTCCGAGGGGTCGGGCCCGGCGGCCCGAGCGCGGCGCCGCGGACACTGCGGATGAGCCCGGCCGGTGGGGCAGGGCCGGCCGGTGGGCTTCCTGCCCCGTCCCCGTTAACCGCCGCCCTGCCGCTATGTTTGTCCGCAGACCGCCCTGAGCACGTTTTTCCAAGAAACCAACATTCCCAACAGCCACCACCACCACCAGATGGTAAGTGTGGCCGGGCTCCGGCGGGAGGGCCGGCGGGCTGGAGGGCCGGCTTCGCCGCGGCCGCAGCCCACCCGGGCGGCCGAGGGTGCGGGCCGGGGGCCGCTGTCAGGCGCCGACGGTGACAGCCATGTTGCCGGGGAGCGCCGAGCCGCGATGTAAACAAAGAGCCAAAATGTCTTCCAGGAAAGAGCGGCTCCCAGGGCCGGCTGGCTCGCCCAACTTTGCGGTCAGGCCTCCTGGGCTGCTGTAGTTCGACCTGAGGCCTTGTGCTCGGCGCTCCCCCTGGGCCAGGGGCTAGGAGGGCGGCGAGGGTGGCCGGCGGAGTAGCCGGCTGGCAGGGAGTGGGGAGGGGGGCTCGGACGACAACTAGACGTCGGGGGAACCCGGGCCGAGTGAAGGGCCCCGAGGGGACTGAGACCTGGAATGTCTGTCTCTATGGAGCACCCGTCTTGCTGTTGGAGTGGCAGTCCCCCATCCAGACAACCCAGCTCTGTAGAGAACAGGAAAGGGATAAATCCACCCTGGCCTGGGAGCTGGGCTCTACCCAGAGAGTTATGTTCACTCTTTCCTGTTCATGGAAAAAGACCTACCCTGAGCGTGGAAGACTTACAGATTTTTGACAAGATAAGCCAAGAATGCGTTTAATCTCAGTAGGTGAAGATACATAAAACACAGGAAACAGAAGTGGTTCAGGCCTGGATTTGCTTTCTTCTCTTTTCCAAGCTGGCCCCAGGCCTGGGCCTTTGCCCTCCTGCCCTGCTTTCCACAGGCATAGGACATCCCTTTCACTTTAGAGGATTGAATGCCTTCTCTACCTCTCTAGTTACCTATTAGCCCTGCTGGTGGGGGGAGGGCCTCAAGATAGGGATTGTAAAACATGATTCCCCAGGAGATCTGTTATGGCTTCTGGAGCACATTTTTGGCATTTTGGTGTCCTTGCCCGTGGCTCCCTTCTCAGAGCCGCTGCCTTGCCTGGAGAAGCTGCAAATGGTTCCTCTGCTGTGTCTTGTCTTTGGCGCTCTGTATTCGTCTAGTTGCAAAGGACAAGTAGAGAGGGGTCTGTTTTGACCCTTTTAACCAGCTCTTCTCTTGGAATAGCCCATATGCTATTTGTATAAATCAAAGAACAAAAGTGCATCCGAATATGATGAGAATTATGCTGGCTGCAGGGCTGTGGCAGTTGAGGCTGGGCTCTTGGTAAACCCAAGAGGGGTTCATCTCCAGGGGACCCTCCCCTGTACCGGACCATGGGAAGCTCGGGTGTGAGCCTGGGGCTTGCCTCCATCTTGCCTCCGTCTCCTCCTAAAGGGGCCTTGAGGTTTGCTCCACCAACTGTGGTCGTTTCAAAAGGCCCAGGCTTCCAGCACAGCCACTTTGTGTTGCCCTGAACAGAGGGGCTCGCCCCCGAGAGCTGGGACTAATGGTCCTTTTAGGTTCTGTTGCTCCTTCCCTGCAAATCCTGGGGGACTGTAATCTTTTTGAAGCTTCCCTCAAGGGCTGTGGCTGGTTTTTTAACAGACATTATGATCAGTGTATCCATGAGAACGCCACCCCTGCCCTCAAGGAGTTGGTAATTTTTTTTAGAGATGATATAAATCAAAGGAAAATGTTGGATTAAAAATACCAGAAGTGACCCAGGCCAAGAGCTGCTGATAAATGGTTGTCCCATAGATGACTGTACATACACAGTCGGAGGCATCTTCCTAGATAAGGGAGGGCTCCTGGGTTAGATTGGGAAGGGCCGGGAAGAGGAGAAAGACACTGGATGCGAAGCAGTAGGACATTAGCAGGGTGCAGTGGACGCTGGGTGTGCTTGAGAGCTGGAAAGCTCCATCCATAGCTATTAGAAGCAGAGCTGGAGGGACCTTTACAGGACCTGGTCCAAACCCCTGGTTTTATAGAAGTAGAGAGAAACTCCAGAGAGGTTAAGGGACTTGCCCGAGCTCACACAGGCAGGTGGGCACAGGCCTGCCCCGGATCCAGGCCGCTGCCGCTGTCGGGGGCGGGGGGCAAGGTGGCGGCTGAGGAGACAGGCTCCACTGGCTCGGTGAACTGGGGAAGTCGGTCACGATGCTGTGATGCAATTGGCCTGTCCCCCCCAACCCCCCATTCATTGTTTCCTGCTGCCGAGAAGTCAGCCCTGGGGGGGGGGGGGGGGTGGGCGGGCCGGGGAGGAGTGAAGGGAGCAGGGAAATGGTCTGGGTGGGGCCAGGCCGGGTCCTGTGGCCTCCCTGGAGAGGACGCTGGTTGCAGCGCCCCAGCTGCTGATGTGGAGCCGGCCCAGTTCATCGGAGGGGGTTTGCCCCCTTCCCGTGGGCCTGTCCTCCTTCTGGGCTGGGGTTTAATTGTAGAGCTGTGGAAGTTCCCGGGACAGAGCCCTGGGAGCAAGGTGAGGAGCCCTAGAATCGTGCTCCCTGAGCCCTGTGCCTGGGGGAGGGGCCGGTGTGGCTAAAATTAGGAGAAATTCAAAGAAGGGCTCCCGTGGCTTCCTGGGAAAGGGAGAAGCTGCTGCGGGGTCAGAACTGGCTTTGGGCAGGCCTTGTTCTCTGCCGCCTGTTCCCTGCACCCTGGTGAAGTGCTCGGGGGGGTGGCACCCCCACGCCCCCCACGCCACAGGGCTGGGAGGCTGCCAGTTACCGCCCAGCAGCCCAGCCCCTGCCCTTCCTGGCTGGGGTCCCTGCTCAGGGTGGTGGCAGAAGACAGCAGATGCTGGGATGTTTGCAGCTGCCCTCGCAAAGCAGGCTGAGAGGGGCTGAGCGGACCGAGACACCGGCAGCATCTGGCCAAGGGCAGCCTGCTGGGAGACGCCAGTTTTTGTCCTCGGGGAGCCCAGGCGTGAAGTTGCACTTGACTCTTAAGTGCAGAGTGGGGCTGGGTAGAGGTTAAGAGCTTGGGCCTGCAGACCTGGGAGCCCCGGGATTCGGGCTTCTCAACTTGTGCCCTGCAGCGGTGTGTTTTTGGTCCAGTGACCTGAGCTCTGGGCCTCAGTTTCCTCATCTGTAACCGAGAGGACCATCAGAATGACCTAGCACCCTGGTGAGAAGTGAGAGAGCGCAGGCTGAGGCCCCGAGGCCCGCTGGCTGGCGCTGTGGATGTGGAACGGACCCAAGCACCAAGCAAGTGCAGCCTCCCCGGGGTTGGCATAGGAGGGAGATCCTGGATCTGGCCGCCTTCCCTTGGCTAACAACCTCGGAACATCTGAGGGTGGATTACTGAGGAGCCAGCTGGTTTCTCACCCAGGGTGAGGCGCTCAGCAGCGGTGTCCTGGGCTGCCTCCCTTGTCCTGGCTTCAATCTGACACCCTAGCTTCTGCCGGAGTTAACCATCTACTTCTGACACTCAGAGCGTCATTCCCAAGCATCAGGAAACACTCTTTGGTTTTGACAAAAATTGTAGGAGTCCGCCCCCGGTTTTCTGTTTTTATTGGCTCAGGGTGCAAGGGGTGCTTTTGTCCTGCTGAAACCTCTTATGGACTGAAAGACGGGGAGGAAGGAGGGCCCAGTGTGGGTGAGCCCCGTGGGAAGGCTCTATAGACCCGCAGACAGTGGCCTGGGATCGGGGCGGCGGGTGGGGGCGGTGCAGGCAGCCCTCACAACCCCAGTGTTCTCTCCCAGCAGATGTGCACCCCGAGCAACACACCTGCCACGCCGCCCAACTTCCCCGACGCGCTGGCCATGTTCTCCAAGCTTCGCGCCTCCGAGGGCCTGCAGAACAACAACGGCCCCATGACTGCGGTGGCCTGCTCCCCCCCCGCAAGTTTCAGCCCCTTCTGGGCCTCGTCCCCGCCCAGCCACCAGGCCGCCTGGATCCCACCCTCCTCCCCCACGGCCCACAGCTTCCACCATCTCCACCACCCGCAGCCCACGTGGCCGCCTGGAGCACAGCAGGGGGGCACCCAGCAGAAAGCCGTGGCTGCGATGGATGGCCAGAGATGAGACTGGGTGCCGCCGGGCGCTGGGCTGGAGCTGGGGGGCAGTCCAGGGTCGTGGGGACACAGGAGGGCCGGGGCGGGGTGGGGGGAGCTGGGGTGGGCGGGGTTTCCTGAAGATCGCACTGGAAGATTTTATAAGAGAATTTTTGTGGGTGGAGGGGACAGTAAACTTCCTGAGCCACTTGGGTCCTTCAGGAGTTTTCTCTTCAGGCAAGTTTTTTTTCCTCTTTTTAATATATAACTATAATATATATATGAATATATAAAAGTAACTAATGTATGTGAGAATGGGGCTGGCTGACTGGTGTTGGGTCAGCGGGGAAGGGCCAGAGAAGCCTCCCCTTGGGCCAGCACCCCATCCTCCACCCCGGTCCCGGGCGCAGGTGCTTGGAAGCCAGGTGGTGTGATCCTGCAGTCACAAGGTGTCTGCCGGCTGCCTCCTCTCAAAGGCCACACCTTCTGGAATCAGAAGGACCACCACCTCTCTACTCCACGTGATGGTGGCAGGAGGGGTGCGCGGGCTGGCTGAAGGTGTGGGCCCTCTTCGCCGTCCTGAGGCTCTCCCCACCCCCAGCCAGTGGCTCTCCAGCTCTGGTCGCCTCTCCCGGTGTCACCCCTGTCTCCATCTAGGTGTGCAGGGCTTGTGCGGGACTTTAAGAGCCAACTGGGGTCAGAGGCCCGGGCTCTGCCAGTGGGCTTGACCCCCGTAGCTGCCCTGCCTCTTCCACCGTGCAGCCCAGCCGCGGACAACAGAGTGGAGAGCTTACCTTTGGATTTAGTTCCCAAATCAGTCATCTCACCAGGGTGAAATTTTAATTTAAAACTTAAAAGAGACTTTTCTAACTTGCCTGGTTTGCGGTGCCTTTCTTTACCTTGGTGTGGAGAGCGTGCTCCTTGGTCAGAGGGGTGGTGAGGCTCTCGGCTGTGCTGCGGTTGGGGGACCAGCTCCATTGCCACGTGGCGGGTCTGGATGCTCTGATAAGGGGCATCCCGGCCAGGGAGCCATGCGACAGGCTGGATCCGGTTGGGCGTGGGGAGGAGAGGAAGGACAGGTCCCGGCTTGGTTACGGTAACCCTCTCCCCTTGGCTCTCGCCACCGTGCAGCCCACCGCAGGCTAGGCCTCAGCCCCAGAGCCCCTGTCTTTGCCTGCAGTGGGGGAGCTGCCTCCCCGCCTGGGGGCCCAATGGCAGCCCCACGCTTCTGCCTGCTCCCCCAGGCACTTGCCGCTGAGCGTGTCTCTGCTGTCCTTGCCCCCAGCCTCCTCTGGGGTAACCTGTCCCCATGTGCATGTTGTGTGGCCCTGTCCCAAAGGTCAACCGAGGCGATCAGGGAGCCACAGAGACTGGGTGAGTCCCCAAGAGGACTGGCTTCCTTTCCCTTCCCCCCTTCGCCCGGCCTTCAGGCGCTGGAATGGAAGCAGCAGTGATGGCAGCTGGGCTCTTCTCAGACTCCAGCGCAGGTGGCCAGGTGCGTGAGGAGCTTGTCCGCCCAAATGGAGGAGTGGGTGGCTGGCCCCAGGGTTGGGATTCCTGAGCCCCCTGCCCCCCGTAAAAAACAAACCCCTTTAACATGTGTGAGTGGGCTCGTTCCCTCCCTCTCTCAGCAGCCCGGGCACTGCTGTTGATCAGGACTGCGGGGCCTGGAGGTTCAGGCCCAACGTGCAGTGACACTTGGGAAGGGCCCCACCTGGCAAGCCAGCCCGTGCTGCTCCTGGGCCTCGTGTGTCTTCACAAGGTCACCTGTGGGGCCGCCCCTGCAGGAGTGGAGCAGAACTGGGGACGCAGCTGTCCTTGGTCCCTCTGCATGTGATCATGTACTTTGAAGCTGGGTTTGTCGTTTCAGTTTTGTTTCCTCCTTGGAAACCTGTGAGACTCCTCCCACCCGCACCCCTCACTCTGCCCACCTGTGCTTTCCCAGGCTGGAAGGGGAAGGCCCTTCGTGGGCACGTGGGCGGTCAGTGCTGGGCGGCCTGGGTGAGCGTAGGCAGGCAGGTCCAGGTGCGGGGAGGCAGGGGTGGCCTGGGCTCCTTGGGGAATGTCACCCCTCATCCTTTCGGGGGCATCGGGGAGGCCTGGCTGCCGCTCCTCCCTTCCAAGCTGGTGAATTTGGATTCTAGAGCAGGGACACTGAGCCAGTGACCTGACATTTCTCAGGCAGGAGCAGAGGAGGCCTGGGCCTGGCCCTGCTGCCCCCTTGCAGAGAAAAGGGTGCGGGGGTGTGGGCGGTGCCGACTGGGACCCCAGTGTTCAACAGTGAACGGGATCTCAGCAGATGGGGAGAGATGGGGGATGCCCCTTCCCGCAGGGAGCGCCTGCCCCACCCATGACACCCCCAGCCAACTCCACCCTCCTGTGCCCACAGGGGGACGAGGGAGAAACCCTTTCCTCAGTTACTTCCTGCTACACTTTCCTGTGTGACTCTGTCATCCCTCAATTCACACCCTGAAGCAGCCCTCTTACTGGGCCCAGACATCCCTTTCCCATGTCAGAGGGGACTGGGGGTGGTGGGGGGAGGGAGGGAACCCCACCTTGGAGGAGGGAGCTGCTGAGAACAGATCTGAAGGCAGAAAACTGCTTCCATGACTGCAGAGGCCCCCGTCTGGGTGCGGGGCAGCACTCCCTTGTCCCTGGGGCTTTGATTGGGGACGCGCTTGTCCCTTACAGTTGACTTGGGGGATGGCAGTGAGCCCTCTGGCCTGTTTGGGGTCACACTGAAGCAGGGCAAGGGCCAGGCCTCAAGACCCCCTGGCAAATGCCAGGCACACTTCTGCTCTATCTTCCTGGGGAGGGGCGGGGAGGGGAGGGGAATAGGGACACGACCTAGCCCTGGCGGCCCCTGGGTCTGCGCCCCTCCTGCGTCTGCAGCAGCCACTCAAGGGTAAGCCACAAAGGACAGCAAACAGGAACCTTCTCAGGTGCTGGTGGCACCGCTCCCCCCCAGGATGTGCCAGGAGCCTCCCTGCCAGCAGCAGGAGGGCTGCCACCCTTACCTTTGCTCCAAGATACACAAGGTACAGCTCAAGCACAGACATGAAGCATCCCAACCTCACCAGAGTGCCCTGGCCAGCCTCCCCAGATGGAAGGCAGTGCCGGTGCCAGAGAAGGCCACAGCACCGGGTCCAGCCAGGGTCAGGAGAGGGCAGACCGCTTGCAGGCCCGCCAGTCCCCGGAGCCTGGGGTCTGGCCTGTGCTGCCTCTTCCTGGCCCTGGGTCCAACACTCAGCCCTCTCGAAGCCCTGGCACCCTCAGAGAACAGCTCAACCTGTTTGGGGGCCATGGCCTAATGGTCAGGCTGCATGAGGTCTGCCATCCGACCTGCAGCGGCCCTGCCTCTCACTCCACCTTCCTGAGCCAGGACCAGAGAAGCTGCATGGCCCCAAGCTTTCTCCTAAACATTTATTTATAGCTCTGCTCAGCCTGGCCCCGGGGTGGGCTCCTCGAGCCCCTCCCCAGGAGGCGCGTCCACGTGCATCTCCAGCCCCGATGGCAGGTTTGTCATCTCACTGGGCAGGTGAGATGTATTCGGCTGGGAGAGGCGCCCCTCGGTGGAGACGGGTCTGTCTTTCCGTTGAAGAGAAGAATCTGCGAGACAGGAGGGAGCAGACCTGGCTCTGTCTTGCTCCCACGCCCGCCAGCGGCCCACCCCAGCTAGCGCGAAGCCCAGGGAAGTGGAGAGCAGCCCCAGTAGCCAGGCCGAGCTAGGGCATCATGCTGGGGAGGGGGGGTGGTGGCAAGCCCTTACACGAGCCCCTAAGTCACACTCCTTTATAATCTGAGTTAAAAATAAACAAGCTTTCACCAGGGGCTGAGAGCCTGCCTCTTTGGTAACGTTCCCTCTTAATACAGGGACTGTTTAGGCAATATTGACACAAATAGGTGCAGGAATTTTCCCTAACACTACCCTCCCTCTTGCTGCTGCTTCTACACGTTTTAAGTGCCCTTGGAGTAGACGGTGGAGTGCTGGGGAGAAAAAAGCTAAGTACCCCCAAGAAATCAACTCGGAACCAAGAGCCACAGACCTGTGCTGTTGGTCCACTGCTGAATCCTCCATCCCAGGCTCTTACCCTTTGTCACCAGCGCTGGCTCTGGGGCCAGATGGCTTGGCTTTGAACTCCAGCTCTGCTGCTTCCTAGCTGTGTGACCTTGTGCAAATACATTAACCTCTCTGTGCCTCGGCTTTCTCAGCTGTAGGTGGGACCAACAGTGGTCCCTGCCTCTTAATGCATGAGGATGAAGACTGGTTTGTAAGTGGAAAGCTCCTCAGCAGTGCCTGGCCGGTGAGGAACCCTCAACAGAGGCGAGGCAACATGACCACCACTTATTCTGTTTCCGCTTATTCTGTTTCTGCTTCCTCCAGGCGCTCACTGAATGCTGGAACTGGAAGGGGTGTGTAGCTGGGGCTCTTAACCTGGGCAGGGGGTAGGGGTGGTCCTTGAACCTCCGGAAGTAGCTGCAAAGCATTGTGGATGCATAGCTTTTGATGGGAAGAAAGTCAGCACCTTTCTTAGGCTCTCAAGGGGGAGCCTAACTAAGCAGCCCTAATCCAGCACCCTTTTATCAACAGATGAGGGAACTGGTCAAGAGAAGGGGGAGAGGTGCTCAGAGTCACCTGGAAGTGATCCAGCCTCCTAGCTCCAGGCTACTGTCCCTCTCTGGCCCCATGTGTAGCCAAACCCCAAGGGAACCCTTAGCCCTCTGGCTTTCAGGCAGGATTTAGCCCCTCTGGGAAGAGCAGGGACTCTGGGGGACCTTCCAGGCCAGGGGGCTTAGCTCCATGGCCTAATGGTCAGGCTGCATGAGGTCTGCCATCTGACCTGCAGCGGCCCCTCCCTCTCACTCCACCTTCCTGAGCCAGGACCAGAGAAGCTGCATGGCCCCAAGCTTTTTCCTAAACATTTATTTATAGCTGTGCTCAGCCTGGCCCCGGGGTGGGCTCCTCGAGCCCCTCCCCAGGAGGCGCATCCACGTGCATCTCCAGCCCCGCTGGCAGGTTTGTCATCTCACTGGGCAGGTGAGCTGTCGGCAGGTGTCATCTCACTGGGCAGGTGAGAGTCGGCACATGTGAGCAGGGGAAGGACTCGGGCCTGGAG